GTCGGAGTGACGTATATGTGCGTCACTGTTGTAGCTCCGCCGGAGGAAACTACGATATTAGATGTAGACTAGTGTGTGTGTTAGTATAGTTTTCTAGGGTGTATTATGAGAGATAGTGGCATAGGCTAAAGGGGGTCTGGTAGAATACTAATATGCGTAGAATTACTAAAGCCGGCTTGATGATTGGAGTTTGAAGGGTATAAGTATATGAAGCGCGCTGCAGGACATAAGGCTTACATGTATATCTGTTAGAGTTACGCACACAACGTGTCGATGGTTAGTAATTGATGATCAGTGGATCAAGTTTGTCTGGTGATCACTGGTATTATGCTAGTGCATCTCTGTATCGAGATGGGTGGTAGATGATATTAGATGAAACTAAGAGAATAAGTACGGTCGTGATTGCAGAGTAGTTCATATGCAGCTGTGAGTAGAGAGATTTTGGATTATAGTGGTGTTTTTGCTGAGTGGTCCATAGTGCTGTTTCTGGTAAGTGGTAGGTTTTGATAGCTCGGATGTAACACATTCAGTCGGTAAAAGTATTCGCTGCCTGAATGGTATCTACGGACAGCTTAGTTGTTAAATATAGTGTAATGACTCTTTGAAAGTTGTATGGAGTTGTCGAACTAATAAATGGAGGCTTTGAACTGATGTCCATGGTAAGCTATAGGTCGCACATGGATGTATAGTTGAGTGTGGCGCTCTTGATGAGTCAGATTAGGCGCCGCGGCGAGTGCTTCTGCCCTGCTCGTCGCGGATGTCATCGGAGTTCAGTAGGAATGACTTCCTTCGTCGTAAGGGATCAAACATCGGAATCGTCGCCATTTATAAGCGAGTGCTTCATCAGCTACATATTTTGTCGGTTTGGGTAGAACATTTTTATGCATCTATACTCGTTAGGAGCTTGGTGACAAGTAAAAATTCTGTTTGGTGTGGCAATAGATCAGCGGAGATCACGGGATGGTAGTGAATGTTCGCTCTGCGCCAGACACCTAGGAACAGTGTTTGGAGATGTGATTGTATGTACGATGGCCAGGCAGTTGTGTGTCGACTGGATCGGGAAATAGAGGCGTTTGGCGGTAGTGCGCCGGATTTCTTGTTTGGTGTGTTTTAGTATGTGCAAGTAGGTCCGTGTGGTTGATGGGCTGCGGATGTAAATCTAGTCAAAGCAGACGCATGTGTGGCGCTGTATAGCGTGCTCTAGTGTAGAGAAAGGACATGGTTTCCGATCAAAGAAGTAACTAATAAAAATCTGCAACAAAATATTATGCAGTCCAATTATTTTGTTATTGTGTCTAAGTTCCATAATAGCTTTTAAATCCTGATTATTTTCATATTAGAAAACCAAAGGAGAATTGCAATAGATTACAGAGCTTAATATGGCATGCCATTCACTACCCCTCACCGACCTATGAAAACAATCGGCTAATAGCACAGAACTCGGAAAAGCATCAAAGAAGCCCCGACGGAAACAAGGTACAAGTAAAAAATACAAACGCTCACCCTAACAGGTCACTTACAATAGTAGACCTTGTGAGATCTCTAGTTATAATTTTATTCACATACAACGTATCTAGTGAATCATTGGATTGCGATGTTTCAGTAAATCGAAATAACCAGATATGTTTATCCCAATAATGTGGTTGTTTCTCATAAATGTCCAGTGACGAGCTGAATTTGGGAGGCATCCCAGAAGCATTAATCCTTTCCATCCTCCCCTTTCCCAAAACCTAGCTCGTCGTCGTCGTGAGAGGGCTAAGGAGACGGGGACTGAGACCCAATGTAGAGGAACACCCGTACCTTGGGCCGCAGCCCTTGCCTCAACTAATTTTACTTGGTCTTTTCTTCTCTTCCTTCCTCTTCTGTATCTTCTTTATTCCCTTCTTAAAGTGTGACAGCCGTGCTGAAAGGATGAAAAGCTGGCTTTGTGTCAGTCACGAACGACCTCCGGGAGCCATGGGCACGGTATCCCCTTGGTTAATTGCCTACACCTTTACCCCTTGCGGGGACCCTGAGTGGTAGACCGTTTCTTTTCTCCAGTTTATTCAAGCTCAACATGGCCAGCAATGAAGATTATTTATCCTTAATAGGGGCATTAAGGCTTGCCCCTTCATCAAATAGCCTATCTGAATTTGATTTTGATGGCTTTTGACCCCTGCCCCTCCTTTGACCACGGCTCCGGCCACTGATACCCGCTCTTCGACGCTTACGAACGACCGCTCTTGCCAATGCTATACAAGAGAGGGTATTCACACGGATAGAAATACGTGTGATAGGCTTCTATAACATGGTTGAAAAGCCCATAAACCGAGAAAAAACACAGGTCGGACGGAAAGCCTGAGCAACTCTTAGCCATTCCAAAGCACCCACCCAGATTATTACTCAACCCCTAGAAAGCACCTCTTCCTCATCCCCAACACTCTCCTCTTCATATCCTGCTGCACAGTCCTCTTCAATGTCAACCCCCCTTTTCCCTTATCACTACTTTCACCCTTATTGTCTTCCCCCAACCCCCCGCAGAACTACTCCACTTCACACCACGCCATCTTCTCGCCCTCGGCCTTCTGCAAACCTTCTGAGTACTCTTTGGCCCAGCCAAGTGGGATCGATTCTTTGCGATTCCCCCCACAGCCTCCTATTCTGAGAATACCCTTCTCTTTCAGCAATGTCTCCAGAAACAAGTAGGCAAGGTTACCTTTTGCAGTCGCTCTGATCGTTCACTCCTTGTCACGGTTACATCTGAAGCCCAAGCTCGTGCACTATCTACCCTAACTGACCTTACAGGCAAATCCTTTACTGCCGAACCTCACCCATCTCTTAATACTTGTAGTGGAACTGTTTCTATTCCCCCAAATGCTTGTCCCATGTATAACAAGGACTGGTCAGACTGTGAAAATGACCTACTTTCCTGCCTCATATGATGCACTGGCAGTACAGTGTTACACTCTTCCTCCCAGAGGCCAGCGTAAATCCCACGTCAACATTGCCAAAATTAGCTTCCATAGACAAGACCTCCCCCATGAGGTTTATATTGGTGGATTGTCTTATCATGTCCCACAATATCGACCCCTTCCTATAGCTGCCCTGCCTATAAGTTTGAATATGAGGTAGCAGTCCTCATATTTAAACTAGGTCTCACTCTACAAACAGGAAGCACGACGAGTTTTTTTTCTCCCAACTTATTCCAAAACAGTCCCGCTAGTACAGGAGCGGACGGGTTTCTGTGTTCCTTTATTTTCAAACATTAAACATCAAACATTTCCATCCCCCCGAATCCCCTGGCCTTTGTTTAGGGGCTGAGGAGTCGGAGAGTGAGGCCTAATATAGGGGATCGCCCTTGCCTTGGACCTCAGTCCTCTCCTCAACTGATTTTGCAAGGTCTCTTCTTCCCTTTTCCTTTTCTGTCTTTTCTTCAACCCCTTCTGTTCACATCCTAAAGCGAACAGAAGAGGATGAAAGGCTGGCTTGGTGTCCGTCCCGAACGGCCTTCGTGCTCCCTTTGTTCTTCCCTTCTAAACTTTCACTACCACACGGCGCTCAACAACCTTTTACATCCAACATGTTTTGTCCTGTCGTTAATTCATTCCTTTTACCCTTTCGACGCGATATGCCTTCAGTCCTGTATAATCTTTCCTTACCTCGGGGCTTCGCCTCCAAACCTCACACTATTGCTATATTTTGAATTTGCCGTAAATTACCTTAGATGTTGACGCGACATTTTTTTTTTCCAACAAATAGGTAAATAAATAAATAAATAGATAAATAACATTATAGACCTTATGAGATCCATGTCATGCAACTGTTTTTAAAATATATCTGTGGCTTAACTAAGCCAAGGTCTTCAACCTTTTGAAACCAAGCTCAAATGGCTTCTCCGAATAATCACAGCTCTTCAGATTAGAAGGATCTTGATAAATTCATTATGAGACATTTCATTTCTGAAATTGTATTAACATACTTTATGAGACAAAAGATACTTTAAACAAAACTTATTCGCCACACTAAAACTAGAAGCTAATGTGACACACACACACACACACACACACACACACACACACACACACACACACACACACACACACACACACACACACACACACACACACACACACACACCTGGGCCAAAAAATGGCCCAGGTATCAGACCAATGTTACCGTTTTTGGCACTGCCGTAACATACTTGGTACTTATACGTGCACCAAGTACCTTTGGGACAACTTAAGCAAGAAATGGCACCAAATACATTATCCCAAGAGCAAGTGAGCAAGGTAGATAAGAGGTCCACAGGCTTCGCAGCTCTATTGACAGTACGAAGGCTATTCTTGGTAATTTCCTGGAAAAAGAGTCATGTAAAAGATAAAGACCCAGCTGAAATCAACCCCCAATGACCCATCAAGCTCCCTTGGATTAGAGAACAAATACCGTGCACCGAGTGGAGAGCATTGCCTTGGCGAAATCGGCATATATCTTGAAGAAAGACCTACAGGAATTGTGCAAAAACACTGAGCTTTTATGTTACCCTATCTAAGCAAATGTTCCAACGTTTCCTGTCATCTGGGAAATTTGAAAATTTGGAATAGCAAGTTAGCTTGAAGGAACACCTAAGGCTATCATACTTTTTTTTTTTTTTTGGGGGGGGGGGGGCATCCAAATGGAGAGGGGCATCCAATCAGAGAGGGAAATAAGATAGTGATTTTGAATTTTACGTGTAAATCAAATCAAGAGTTTATTTCATGTTTCATCTGTGTGTACATATTCAAAATATCTCCCTTTCACATGTTACTCAATAGTAGGCCTTATACTTGAGTATTTGGGACATACAGTTAATATCT